TCAAAGTCCTACAGAGGTAGGAAGAAAGTCGGTCCTGTTTACTGCTGTATCCCAGGCATCTGACACAATGCCGGGCACGTAGTAGGAGTTCAACAAAAATGTGCAATTGAATGGATAAATTAGAGCCTAAAACGATTAAAACCAAAGGTTCCAACTGTGAGACAAGACCTATGAAAGAACAGCGGTGGGTCGGGTCCTCGCCAGGTGTCACCTGGGAATCCAGCCGAAGCTGGTCGATGGGAGCGCTGGGCTCTTACAGCTGTGACTCGAAGGCTGGACACCGCTGGGGCAGGTCCCGCGCCAGGTCCGCCACGTCCTGGCCACGGGGAGCGGCGGGCAGGCCCACTGTCCGCCTCGGTGGGCAGTTTCCACTCCAACGACATCCTCTCCCTCTTGATTTACTGTGATATTTATGTGTCTAATGATTTAATATCACACCGCCTGGCCTTTGGGGACCCTCAGTGTGCATTTTCGGGGTGACCTTTACGTCTGTTATACACAAAGCAGCAGAAACCATTCCCTCGGCCGGAGCCCTCAGGTGAGCGTGGTTTCCCTCCTCCCTCCAGAACCTGCCTTGGTGGGGACTCCACGTCGGGGCAGCCGCCCGCCCCGCCCACCCCCCGCAGCGCGGTCTGGAGCTTGCCCGGCGGAGGGGGCACCGGGAGGCCGGGGCCGCGGTCGGTCGCGTGCGGGGCGATCATTCAGAGGCGCTTGGCCCTCTGTGACGTGCTTGGTGCTGGAGCCCCAGCCTGTCTCAGCGAGTCCACGTCAGCAGAGGCTGTGGCCCCCGAGGCTGGAGTCACACCTGCGGGAAGGTGGCTGGCACGTGAGAGACCCGGGGCTTGTTTGGACCCCCCCCCATATCCCCCATCCCGTCCCGTGAGGAAGCAGGGGACAGAGACAGGGACATGATGCCTCTGCAGGGCTGTTTGTCAGCCTGTGTGCACCGTCCCCACGGGCTGGGCCGGGCTCTCCTCTCTGGGGACAGCACTGCCCCCCGAGGCGGCCAGGCCGCGTCTGCGTAGAGGGTGCCCAGAGTCAGAGGAGGGGGAGATCTCTGAACAAGAGAGAAAGGAAAGCAAGACATTCAAACTTGGCTGGTGGTTGGCAGATCATTTCTTCAGGTGCAACTTGATGGCAGTGCCCGAGCTGCCCACAGCTGTAGGAGGGTCTGGGGAGCAGTGTGTGTGTGTCGGGGGGTCCGGGGTCAGGCTGGGCATAGACCAGGCTGAGCCGAGCGACGCAGGAGACCGAGGCCCTCTCTGTGCTCTCGGCACGCAGCACCGGTGGCCCACGAGGCGAGCCACACAGCCTGCCGCCCCTGTGAAAGTGACCGTGCACACAGGCGTCCCATGGCCACTCCAGCAGGAACTGGAGCCAGGGACCGGAGGCACAAGCTGAGCCTCAAACAGGCCGCTGTCCTTTCCCAACCTCACGGAGCAGGGACGGCAGAGAAAACCTGAGGAAAATGGCATGATTTTTACTTCCACTTTGTAAAGAAAGGGAGGGGCAGCTGAGTCTTCCTGGCGCCTTGTGAACTCTCTGCGTTGGCTTCACGGGAAGCTTGTCACAAAGAGAGGCATCCCCAGGACAGTCAGTGGGGTGGGGAGGGGACTGGGGGCCAACACCTGGGCTCACCCCTCACTTCACACAGGAGCTGAAAGACCTCACCTCCCAGATGCAAATCACTCAATCCTGCCGCCTCAGCGGGGACCTGACACCGTGAACCCGGGAGCCCGGAGCCCCAGCGAGATGAGATAAAGCATCTCACAGCGGGGACTTCAGATCTCCAGGACGCAGGCCGGACGGAGGAGCCGGGAACCAACTCTATTCTCTAGGTTTCTGCATAACAAAGACAGACCCTCCCTTCCAAACTCTGGGAAAAC